CCTTGGGGGCCCTTTAGGCCCCCTTGGGGGGGGGGGGGTCTCTGCCCCCCACTCGATGTCCCCTGATGTCCCCGTTGTCCCCAAGGCATGCAGGGCTCCACCCCCCTGGACGTGGCGGCCGCGTCTGTCATCGACAACAACGAGCTGGCGCTGGCCCTCAAGGAGCAGGACCTGGAGAAGGTGGGGACAGCCCCGTGTCACCCCTGTGTCCCCTCCGTGTCCCCCCGTGTCACCCCTGTGTCCCCTCCGTGTCCCCCAATGTCCCCGGTGCCCCGTGTCCCCTCACCTGTGCCCAGGTGGTGACGTACCTGGTGAGTTGCAGAGCTGCCCCGTGGTGCTGCACCCCAAAACCCTCTGTGTCCCCCTGTGTCCCCCCGTGTCCCCTGGTGTCCCCTGATGTCCCCAATGTCCCCTGATGTCCCCGATGTCCCTGGTGTCCCCTGGGGCAGGTGGTGACGTACCTGGCGAGCTGTGGCCTGCAGAGCTGCCCCATGCTGCTGGCCAAGGGTTACCCCGACATCGGCTGGAACCCCTGCGGGGGTGAGAAGTACCTGGACTTCCTGCGCTTCGCCGTCTTCGTCAACGGTGAGACACCCCAGGTGTCCCCAGGTGTCCCTCAGGTGTCCCCAGGTGGCCTCAGGTGTCCCTCAGGTGTCCCCAGGTGTCCCCCAGGTGTCCCTCAGGTGTCCCCAGGTGTCCCCAGACACCCCAGGTGTCCCCAGGTGTCCCCAGGTGTCCCCAGGTGTCCCTCAGGTGTCCCCCAGGTGTCCCCCAGGTATCCCCATGTCCCCTCCTGTGGGTTTGTGTTTCGGGTCGTCCCTTTTAGGGGTCCCTGTGAGTTTTGGGGTCCCGTTCCCACAGGGGAGAGCGAGGAGGAGAACCCCACTTGGAGGCTCCCAGTTGGGTTCTCAGGGACTCCCTGTTTGGGGGTTTTGGGGTTCCCTGTTTTGGGGGTTTTGGGGTTCCCTGTTTTGGGGGTTTTGGGGTTCTCTGTTTTAGGGGTTTTGGGGTTCCCTGCTTTGGGGGTTTTGAGGTTCCCTGTTTTGGGGGTTTTGGGGTTCCCTGCTTTGGGGGTTTTGAGGTTCCCTGTTTTGGGGGTTTTGGGGTTCTCTGTTTTAGGGGTTTTGGGGTTCTCTGTTTTAGGGGGTTTTGAGGTTCTCTGTTTTAGGGGGTTTTGGGGTTCCCTGTTTTAGAGGTTTTAAGCTTCCCTGTTTTGGGGGTTTTAGGGTTCCCTGTTTTGGGGGTTTTGGGGTTCCCTGTTTTAGGGGGTTTTGGGGTTCCCTGTTTTGGGGGTTTTTCAGGTTTGTGTTTTGGGAATTCTGGGGTGTCCCTGTGACCTTTGGGGTGGGGCTCCCCAGGGGAGAGTGTGGAGGAGAACGCCAACGTGGTGGTGCGGCTGCTGATCGGGGACTCCTTGTTTGAGGGGTTTTAGGGGTTTTTGGGTTTGTGTTTTGGGAATTCTGGGGTGTCCCTGTGACCTTTTGGGGTGGGGATCCCCAGGGGAGAGCGTGGAGGAGAACGCCAACGTGGTGGTGCGGCTGCTGATCCGGCGCCCCGAGTGCTTCGGGCCGGCGCTGCGGGGCGAGGGGGGCAGCGGGCTGCTGGCCGCCATCCAGGACGCCCTGAGCATCGCCCAGGACCCCGCGCGGGACGGGCCCAGCGGCCGCAGGGAGAGGAGGCCGTGAGCACCGGGACTGGGGGATTGGGTGGGATTGGAATGGAGACCCCGCACGGGACGGGCCCAGCGGCCGCAGGGAGAGGAGGCCGTGAGCACCGGGAGCGGGATGGGAATGGGAATGGGATTGGGAGGGATTGGAATGGAGACCCCGCACGGGACGGGCCCAGCGGCCGCACGGAGAGGAGGCCGTGAGCACCGGGAGCGGGATGGGAATGGGAATGGGATTGGGAGGGATTGGAATGGAGACCCCGCACGGGACGGGCCCAGCGGCCGCACGGAGAGGAGGCCGTGAGCACCGGGAGCGGGATGGGAATGGGAATGGGATTGGGAGGGATTGGAATGGAGACCCCGCACGGGACGGGCCCAGCGGCCGCACGGAGAGGAGGCCGTGAGCACCGGGAGCGGGATGGGAATGGGAATGGGATTGGGAATGGAATGGGAATGGGATTGGAATGGAATGGGATTGGGAATGGGTGGGATTGGAATGGGGACCCCGCGCGGGAGGGGCCCAGCGACCGCAGGGAGAGGAGGCAGTGAGCACTGGGACTGGGATGGGAATGGGATTGGGAATGGGATTGGAATTGGAATGGGATTAGGATTGGAATGAGATTGGGATTGGGAATGGAATGGGATGGGAATGGAGACCCCGCGCGGGAGGGGCCCAGCGACCGCAGGGAGAGGAGGCAGTGAGCACTGGGACTGGGATGGGAATGAGACCCCGCATGGGACGGGCCCAGCGGCCGCAGGGAGAGGAGGCCGTGAGCACTGGGAGTGGGAATGGGATTGGGAATGGAATGGGATTGGGATTGGGAATGGGATTGGGATTGGAATTGGAATGGGATTGGGTGGGATTGGAATGGAGACCCCGCACGGGACGGGCCCAGCGGCCGCAGGGAGAGGAGGCCGTGAGCACCGGGACTGGGATGGGAATGGGATGGGATTGGGAATGGATTGGGATTGGGAATGGGTGGGGTTGGAATGGAGACCCCGCGCGGGAGGGGCCCAGCGACCGCAGGGAGAGGAGGCAGTGAGCACTGGGACTGGGATGGGAATGGGATTGGAAATGGGATTGGGAATGGAATGGGATTGGGAATGGGATTGGAATGGGATGGGAATGAGATTGGGAATGGGATTGGGAATGGGTGGGATTGGAATGGGGACCCCGCGCGGGAGGGGCCCAGCGGCCGCAGGGAGAGGAGGCCGTGAGCACTGGGACTGGGATGGGAATGGGATTGGAATTGGAATGGGATTGGGATTGGAATGAGATAGGGATTGGGAATGGGATTGGGAATGGAATGGGATGGGAATGGAATGGGATGGGAATGGAGACCCCGCGCGGGACGGGCCCAGCGGCCGCAGGGAGAGGAGGCCGTGAGCACCGGGAGCGGGATGGGAATGGGAATGGGATTGGAATTGGAATGGGATTGGTAATGGGATTGGGATTGGAATTGGAATGGGATTGGGTGGGATTGGAATGGAGACCCCGCACGGGACGGGCCCAGCGGCCGCAGGGAGAGGAGGCTGTGAGCACCGGGACTGGGATGGGATTGGGAATGGGATTGGGAATGGGATTGGAATTGGAATGGGATTAGGATTGGAATGAGATTGGGATTGGGAATGGAATGGGATGGGAATGGAGACCCCGCGCGGGACGGGCCCAGCGGCCGCAGGGAGAGGAGGCCGTGAGCACCGGGAGTGGGAATGGGAATGGGAATGGGATTGGGAATGGAATGGGATTGGGAATGGGATTGGGAATGGGTGGGGTTGGGATTGGGAATGGAATGGGAGTCGGATTGGGAATGGGATTGGGATTGGAATTGGAATTGGAATAGGATTGGGATTGGGAATGGAATGGGAGTAGGATTGGAATGGAGACCCCACACAGGACGGGCCCAGCGGCCATAGGGAGAGGAGGCCGTGAGCACCGGGGCTGGGATGGGAATGGGATTGGGAATGGAATGGGATTGGGAATGGAATGGGATTGGAATTGGAATGGGATTGGGTGGGATTGGAATGGAGACCCCGCACGGGACGGGCCCAGCGGCCGCAGGGAGAGGAGGCTGTGAGCACCGGGACTGGGATGGGATTGGGAATGGGATTGGGAATGGGATTGGGAATGGGATTGGGAATGGGAATGGAATGGGAATGGGTGGGATTGGAATGGGGACCCCGCACGTGAGGGGCCCAGCGGCTGTGAGGATGAGGATGAGGATGAGGATGAGGATGAGGATGAGGATGAGGATGAGGATGAGGATGAGGATGAGGATGAGGATGAGGATGAGGATGAGGATGAGGATGAGGATGAGATGCCCGTGATGAGAAGCGACGCGAGGATGAAGACAGGACGGAGCGGCCATCAAGCCGTGAACAGAAGGGGGATGAAGATGGGCTGGAATGGGTTGGGGTGAAGATGGCAACACTGGGATGGCCTGGGGGGACCCCAGGGTGACCCCCTGACCCCCCAGGTTCGGGCCCGAGGAGCCCCCCGAGGAGAACCGCGTGCACCTGGGCCACGCCATCATGTCCTTCTACGCCGCCCTCATCGACCTGCTGGGCCGCTGCGCCCCCGAGATGCACGTACGGACCCGGCGGGTTTGGGGGGCTCAGGGGGGGTCCCGGGGGGGTCAGAACTCGGGGTGTGACCCCCCCCCACCGTGTGACCCCCACAGCTGATCCAGGCGGGGAAGGGGGAGGCCCTGCGGATCCGGGCCATCCTGCGCTCGCTCGTCCCGCTCGAGGACCTGGTGGGGATCATCAGCCTCCCCCTGCAGATCCCGGCGCTGGGAAAAGGTGGGGAGGGGTCCCCAAACCTGGGGAGGGTCACTGGGATGGGCAGCACCCCAAAATGTGGGGACTGGGATGGGGGACACCCCACAAAGTGGCGATCAGCAGCCTCCCCCTGCAGATCCCGGCGCTGGGAAAAGGTGGGGAGGGGTCCCCAAACCTGGGGAGGGTCACCCCAAAATGTGGGGGCTGGGATGGGGGACACCCCAAAAAGTGGGGATCATCAGCCTCCCCCTGCAGATCCCGGCGCTGGGAAAAGGTGGGGAGGGGTCCCCAAACCTGGGGAGGGTCACTGGGATGGGCGGCACCCCAAAATATGGGGACTGGGGTGGAGGTTATCAGCCTTGAGGGCTATTTGGGGAGTTTTGGGGTGCCCTGAGTTTTGGGGTCCCTCAGATGGGAACGTGGTGGAGCCCCCCATGGCCACCAGCTGGGCTGGGGGGCTCTGGAGACGCCAGGATTTGGGGGGATTTCCAGCTGTTTTAGGGTTTGGGGCTGTTTGGGGAGTTTTGGGGTGCCCTGAGTTTTGGGGTCCCACAGATGGGAACGTGGTGGAGCCCCCCATGGCCACCAGCTGTGCTGGGGGGCTCTGGGAACGCCAGGATTTGGGGGGATTTCCAGTTGTTTTAGGGTTTGGGGCTGTTTGGGGAGTTTTGGGGTGCCCTGAGTTTTGGGGTCCCTCAGATGGGAACGTGGTGGAGCCCCCCATGGCCACCAGCTGTGCTGGGGGGCTCTGGGAACGCCAGGATTTGGGGGGATTTCCAGTTGTTTTAGGGTTTGGGGCTGTTTGGGGCGTTTTGGGGTGCCCTGAGTTTTGGGGTCCCTCAGATGGGAACGTGGTGGAGCCCCCCATGGCCACCAGCTGGGCTGGGGGGCTCTGGGGACGCCAGGATTTGGGGGGATTTCCAGCTGTTTTAGGGTTTGGGGCTGTTTGGGGAGTTTTGGGGTACCCTGAGTTTTGGGGTCCCGCAGATGGGAACGTGGTGGAGCCCCCCATGGCTCCCAGCTGGGCTGGGGGGCTCTGGGGACGCCAGGATTTGGGGGGATTTCCAGCTGTTTTAGGGTTTGGGGCTGTTTGGGGGGCAGCAGTTGTCCCAGTGCTTCCCAAGGGGAGCATCCAGAGCAAGGGAAAAGAGAGCTGCAAGGATGCCCTGCCCCATCCTGGAGCCAGGACTGCCCCTGTCCATTCTGCTCATCACCTTTCCCACCTCCAAACGCTGCAGCTCCCCAGCCCTGCTAGGGACACAAACTCTGGGAGTCCCTGCCTGACCTGAGCTCCTTTCCCATCAAGAATTTTTCAACTGATGTCGAAGCCAACATCACCAACCACCCCTGAGTGAGGCTGTGGTGGCACCTGTGAGGGAGGGGTCAGGAGGGGATGGCACTAACTCGCCCAGCCACAGTGCCAAGCCATGTCTTGTCTGTTTAGTCACTGTTTTAAACCAGGATGGTGCCACCTCTGTTTGCCCAGACCTCAAACACCAAGGGAAGGTTGAAGCACAGCTCAGCAGCCTGTACCAAGCCCAGTGGACAACACAAGGAACGTGACAAGAGCAGAGCAAGTGCCACCCAAATTCGTGGTCTGAAACTCTCCTCCAGTGCCAACAGCCTCCCTGGGTGCCAACCCCACAGCAGCCAGATCAGATGGTTGTGCCATCTTCTCCCAAAATCCTGCCCTGCCTTTGATATGTTAATCCTGCATAAGGCAAATTCTCCCATTAGAATAAAGTCCATTCTGGTCTCCCTGCAATCTGCATGATCCAGTTCAAAGTTAAATTAAAAATCCCAACCTGTGTGAATGTTGCAATCGCATTATGAAATCTGTAAATCTATTTTTAATGTCTTAATGCTGCTCTAGTTGAACGAGGCAAGGCGACTGCTGCATGGCATTTGCTTTACACTTTTTTGGATTCTCATGCACTTATTAAATATTCACTCTGCAGCCTTTGCATTTCCAGTACTGCAGGACCCTAAAATAGAAGACAAGTTTTTCTTTCCCTCTTTTGTTTCTGAAATTCCAACTTGACTCCAGGATCTCTCCAAATCAAACGTGAAGCACTAAACACTGCAAGGAGAAAATGTTTCAAATTCATACAGATGGCAGAAAATAGGATTTAAATCCTAAGCATGCAGCTATTTACACTGCTTTTAGGAGGTGACAGAGCAAAATGATTTCATTTCAAATTAAGATATATACAATGTTAATTCTCTGAGTAGCTTGTTTTTATTAAGAAAATATTTGAACATGGCTGGAACAACTCTCCCAAATCATCATCTTACAGAACATTTCTTGGGGGAGCAGTTTGTGCTTTTCATTCTGATCTGGGACGGAAACAAGCTCTGAAAGACTGGAATTTTCTGTGTCACAAACTTTATTTTCTGACCGACTCGCTTTGAAAAATCAGTGCATGAAGCAGCGAAATCAACCCTGCTGTTGTCCCTCGGGAGCCGTGCCCTGGGCAGCCGGGCTCTGCCTCTCCCTGTGCGCAGCCACCTCTTGTCACATTAACGAGCTCCTCGATATTAAATGTCCTCAAACACCGCGGGTATGAACCAGCCGGGAGAGCAGCAGAGGACGGCAGAGGCGATGGATTGATCCCGAAATCCCAGATTGTCCCAGCAGAGCTGTGCCAGGGGACACCAGCGCCACTTGTCCCGCGGAGCCGCAGGGCAGGGCCGGGGGTGGCACAGGGCAGCCCTGGCACGGCTCGGGATGGCACGGCCCGGCCAGCCCGGGCACTGCGGGCAGCAAAGGCTGCTCTGGAAGGGTCGGGGCTTGCGGAGGGACCGCTCTGTCCCTCCCTGTTCCCCCCGTTCCACTCTGTCCCCCTCCTGTCAGCCCTGTGCCGCTCTGTCCCTCTGTGTCTCCCGTCCCCTTCTGTGCCACCTCGTCCCCTCCTCTTCCCTCTCTATCCCCTCCTGTCCCCTCTCTCTCCCCTCTTTGTCCCCTCTATCCTCTCTCTCTTTCCCTCTCATGGCCACCAGCTGGGCTGGGGGGCTCTGGAGACGCCAGGATTTGGGGGGATTTCCAGCTGTTTTAGGGTTTGGGGCTGTTTGGGGAGTTTTGGGGTACCCTGAGTTTTGGGGTCCCGCAGATGGGAACGTAGAGGAGCCCCCCATGGCCACCAGCTGGGCTGGGGGGCTCTGGGGACGCCAGGGTTTGGGGGGATTTCCAGCTGTTTTAGGGTTTGGGGCTGTTTGGGGAGTTTTGGGGTGCCCTGAGTTTTGGGGTCCCGCAGATGGGAACGTGGTGGAGCCCCCCATGGCCACCAGCTGTGCTGGGGGGCTCTGGGGACGCCAGGATTTGGGGGGATTTCCAGCTGTTTTAGGGTTTGGGGCTGTTTGGGGAGTTTTGGGGTGCCCTGAGTTTTGGGGTCCCTCAGATGGGAACGTGGTGGAGCCCCCCATGGCCACCAGCTGGGCTGGGGGGCTCTGGGGACGCCAGGATTTGGGGGGATTTCCAGCTGTTTTAGGGTTTGGGGCTGTTTGGGGAGTTTTGGGGTGCCCTGAGTTTTGGGGTCCCGCAGATGGGAACGTGGTGGAGCCCCCCATGGCCACCAGCTGGGCTGGGGGGCTCTGGGGACGCCAGGGTTTGGGGGGATTTCCAGCTGTTTTAGGGTTTGGGGCTGTTTGGGGGGTTTTGGGGTACCCTGAGTTTTGGGGTCCCTCAGATGGGAACGTGGTGGAGCCCCGTATGGCCGCCAGCTGGGCTGGGGGGCTCTGGGGACGCCAGGATTTGGGGGGATTTCCAGCTGTTTTAGGGTTTGGGGCTGTTTGGGGAGTTTTGGGGTACCCTGAGTTTTGGGGTCCCGCAGATGGGAACGTGGTGGAGCCCCCCATGGCCACCAGCTGGGCTGGGGGGCTCTGGGGACGCCAGGATTTGGGGGGATTTCCAGCTGTTTTAGGGTTTGGGGCTGTTTGGGGAGTTTTGGGGTGCCCTGAGTTTTGGGGTCCCTCAGATGGGAACGTGGTGGAGCCCCGTATGGCCACCAGCTGGGCTGGGGGGCTCTGGGGACGCCAGGATTTGGGGGGATTTCCAGCTGTTTTAGGGTTTGGGGCTGTTTGGGGAGTTTTGGGGTGCCCTGAGTTTTGGGGTCCCACAGATGGGAACGTGGTGGATCCCCCCATGGCCACCAGCTGGGCTGGGGGGCTCTGGGGACGCCAGGATTTGGGGGGATTTCCAGCTGTTTTAGGGTTTGGGGCTGTTTGGGGAGTTTTGGGGTGCCCTGAGTTTTGGGGTCCCTCAGATGGGAACGTGGTGGAGCCCCGTATGGCCGCCAGCTTCGTCCCCGAGCACAAGGCGCCCATGGTGCTGTTCCTGGACCGCGTTTATGGGGTGCAGAACCAGGAGTTCCTGCTCCACGTGCTGGAAGTGGGGTTCCTGCCCGACATGCGCGCGGCCGCCTCGCTGGACACGGTGAGGGGCACCCCAAAACCGCCCCGGGGCTCCCCAAAACTCCCTACAGGGTCCCTTGGACCTGCAGCAATGGCCTTGGGTCAGCCCTGTTCCCTCCTGTGGGGTGGGTGTGGGGTCACCCCAAATATTCCATTTGACCCCCCAAATCTTCTCTATGGGATGGATTTGGGGTCACCCCAATCTTCCCTATTTGACCCCCCAAATCTGCCCCATGGGATGGATTTGGGGTCACCCCAATCTTCCCTATTTGACCCCCCCAAATCTGCCCCATGGGATGGATTTGGGGTCACCCAAATCTCCCCCACGGGATGGGTCTGGGATCCCCCAAATCTCCCCCATGGGCTGGATTTGGGGTCACCCCAATCTTCCCTATTTGACCCCCCCAAATCTGCCCCATGGGATGGATTTGGGGTCACCCAAATCTCCCCCACGGGATGGGTCTGGGATCCCCCAAATCTCCCCCATGGGCTGGATTTGGGGTCACCCCAATCTTCCCTATTTGACCCCCCCAAATCTGCCCCATGGGATGGATTTGGGGTCACCCAAATCTCCCCCACGGGATGGGTCTGGGATCCCCCAAATCTCCCCCATGGGCTGGATTTGGGGTCACCCCAATCTTCCCTATTTGACCCCCCCAAATCTGCCCCATGGGATGGATTTGGGGTCACCCAAATCTCCCCCACGGGATGGGTCTGGGATCCCCCAAATCTCCCCCATGGGCTGGATTTGGGGTCACCCCAATCTTCCCTATTTGACCCCCCCAAATCTGCCCCATGGGATGGATTTGGGGTCACCCAAATCTCCCCCACGGGATGGGTCTGGGATCCCCCAAATCTCCCCCATGGGCTGGATTTGGGGTCACCCCAATCTTCCCTATTTGACCCCCCCAAATCTGCCCCATGGGATGGATTTGGGGTCACCCAAATCTCCCCCACGGGATGGGTCTGGGATCCCCCAAATCTCCCCCATGGGCTGGATTTGGGGTCACCCCAATCTTCCCTATTTGACCCCCCCAAATCTGCCCCATGGGATGGATTTGGGGTCACCCAAATCTCCCCCACGGGATGGGTCTGGGATCCCCCAAATCTCCCCCATGGGCTGGATTTGGGGTCACCCCAATCTTCCCTATTTGACCCCCCCAAATCTGCCCCATGGGATGGATTTGGGGTCACCCAAATCTCCCCCACGGGATGGGTCTGGGATCCCCCAAATCTCCCCCATGGGCTGGATTTGGGGTCACCCCAATCTTCCCTATTTGACCCCCCCAAATCTGCCCCATGGGATGGATTTGGGGTCACCCAAATCTCCCCCACGGGATGGGTCTGGGATCCCCCAAATCTCCCCCATGGGCTGGATTTGGGGTCACCCCAATCTTCCCTATTTGACCCCCCCAAATCTGCCCCATGGGATGGATTTGGGGTCACCCAAATCTCCCCCACGGGATGGGTCTGGGATCCCCCAAATCTCCCCCATGGGCTGGATTTGGGGTCACCCCAATCTTCCCTATTTGACCCCCCCAAATCTGCCCCATGGGATGGATTTGGGGTCACCCAAATCTCCCCCACGGGATGGGTCTGGGATCCCCCAAATCTCCCCCATGGGCTGGATTTGGGGTCACCCCAATCTTCCCTATTTGACCCCCCCAAATCTGCCCCATGGGATGGATTTGGGGTCACCCAAATCTCCCCCACGGGATGGGTCTGGGATCCCCCAAATCTCCCCCATGGGCTGGATTTGGGGTCACCCCAATCTTCCCTATTTGACCCCCCCAAATCTGCCCCATGGGATGGATTTGGGGTCACCCAAATCTCCCCCACGGGATGGGTCTGGGATCCCCCAAATCTCCCCCATGGGCTGGATTTGGGGTCACCCCAATCTTCCCTATTTGACCCCCCCAAATCTGCCCCATGGGATGGATTTGGGGTCACCCAAATCTCCCCCACGGGATGGGTCTGGGATCCCCCAAATCTCCCCCATGGGCTGGATTTGGGGTCACCCCAATCTTCCCTATTTGACCCCCCCAAATCTGCCCCATGGGATGGATTTGGGGTCACCCAAATCTCCCCCACGGGATGGGTCTGGGATCCCCCAAATCTCCCCCATGGGCTGGATTTGGGGTCACCCCAATCTTCCCTATTTGACCCCCCCAAATCTGCCCCATGGGATGGATTTGGGGTCACCCAAATCTCCCCCACGGGATGGGTCTGGGATCCCCCAATCTCCCCCATGGGATGGATTTGGGGTCACCCCAATGTTCCCTATCTGACGCCCCAAATCTCCCCCATGGACAGATCCCCAAACTCCCCCCATGGGACACCTCTGTCCCCACGTCCCCTCAGGGTGTGTCACCCCCTGTGACCCCCCCGTGTCCCCCCCAGGCGACGTTCAGCACGACGGAGATGGCGCTGGCGCTGAACCGGTACCTGTGCCTGGCGGTGATGCCGCTCATCACCAAGTGCGCGCCGCTCTTCGCGGGCACCGAGCACCGCGCCATCATGGTGGACTCCATGCTGCACACCATCTACCGCCTGTCGCGGGGCCGCGCCCTCACCAAGGCCCAGCGCGACGCCATCGAGGAGTGCCTCATGGCCCTCTGCAGGTGGGACCCCCAATCGGGCCCCAAAATGGCACCGTGCCCCCCCACCATGGGTCTGTATCTGTCCTCAAAATCAGCCCAACTCTCATGGGGAACCCAACTGCCATGGTCAACTCAACTCTCATGGCCAACCCAACTCTCATGGGGAACCCAACTGCCATGGTCAACTCAACTGCCATGGCCAACCCAACTCTCATGGGGAGCCCAACTTTCATGGTCAACTCAACCGTCATGGCCAGCCCAACTGCCATGGTCAACCCAACTTTCATGGCCAACTCAACCACCATGGTGCACCCAACCCCCATGGTCGACCCAACTCTCATGGGAAACCCAACTGCCATGGTCAACCCAACTACAATGGTCAACTCAACCATCATGGTCAGCTCAACTCCCGTGGTCAACCTCACCCCCGTGGTCAACTCAACTGCAATGACCAACCCAACCACCATGGCCAACTCAACTGCCATGGCCAACCCAACTC